ACCCTAACCCTTTACAGACACACATGAGAACGCACACAGGACAAAAAGCTTACAGCTACTCAGTCTGTAAGAAATCGTTTAACCAGCACTCACATTTACAGACACACATGAGAATCCACACAGGAGAGAAACCTTTCAGCTGCTCAGTGTGTGATGAAAGATTTCGGCACAAGTCAGCTCTGAAGCTACACATGATTACTCATACAAGAGACAACCGGCTTTAGTGGTTGTGTTTGACACACCACATGGCACATAACGCAGGGGAAGAAATGTGGTGCTTTTTTCCTGTTGTTTTAATTTGAGAGCATTGATTATTGATTCCACGTTCAGATTTTCAATTGTTTCCTCTTGCTTCTCTACAGAGCATTTTAGTGTCTTAGGTTTTAGCTTTTTTGGCACACAACTGGACTGTTTCGCGGTGCATATATTTATATATTCATCCTTCGCGTCTTAACAAGAAAGAGACCAAGAGGGGGGTGCTTCGAGGTTCGGAGATCGGTTTTATGCATCTCCCCCACGTTTTTAACCCCCAGAGTAGACTCGGTTTTAACTTGGGGCAGGCCCTGCCACCCACAGCTTCCAATGTGGTTTTTGCGGTCCCTGTGGCTGAAAGTGGTAGTGTTTCCGGGCACCAAGAACAAATAATATAACTAAACAAATGACTATTAAAGAGAAAAAGCAATCTTAATATAACAAACAATCTAACCTAAATAAGCAAACATCGAGAATAATTAAACAATACTACTTATGAATTAAATAACAAAATACTAACATCAAATAAATAGTTCCTACAATGTGAGTTACATATTTTTAGGACATCTCTTGTTACTGTTTTGAGTTCACAAAATTAAATTAAGTCTGTATATTGTACTCTATTGTTGAGTTATAATTTAAAGGCTTGTAATTGTCTGTATTTGTCATGTTAAGTACTCTGTGAGGAGTTACGTTAACCTAACTTTACCCTCTATTTGAGTTACAGATTTTTAGGAAATTTCTTGTCTCTGTTTTGAGTTCACAAAATTAAATTAAGACTGTATATATAATAAATGTATAAATAAATACAGGAATAAATAGATCAATGCATAAATAAGTGTATAAATACAGAAATTAATAAATAAAATAATAAATAAATGCTGAAATAAATACAGAAATATTTAAATGCCATTTGTCGTTTTTCTGAGCTCCGCTTAACTTCCGGTGTTGCCATGGCAGCAACGTCTATACTGCAGTCAGTTACGGAGCAACTTTTTGAGAGAGAGACGTAGAAATAGACGGACAGCGGGTCGGCAGGAGATCAACCTTGCTGTTCTCTACACAGGGTTCGTACGGTCATGGAAAACCTGGAAAAGTCACGGAATTTTAAAATGGTTATTTCAGGCCTGGAAAAGTGCTTGAAAAAATTGAATCCCAAAAGTTTTGGAAAAGTCATGGAAATGTGTTATATTCATATTTTCATGTCGTTCATTTACGCTGAGTTGCCAGCCAGCGTTTCTCAGATTGGAGTGAGACGAAGAGAAATGGTGACGTCGTGATCTTCGCAATAGAACATCTTTGACGTGTCGAGTCTTGGCCAATCAGCATTAAGATGTCTACAGCGTCTTCATTTCCCTCCATTAAAGTTTAAGTTCCGTTATGTTCCGTTACCGTTCATACTTGCTGGGTTACGTTAACGTTGTAGAAATATGCTGACGGTATTTACAGGCATTAAACATATAAGTATTATGTGTGTGTGTGCTCATTTGCAATAGTGTTGCGTGTGTCATAGAGCAAAGGTTTGAATCTTCGGGCGAGGCACTCACGCGCTTCCCGTACAAAGAAGAAGCTCTGACACACAGGTGGTTAGCTTAAACTCGTAGCTAGATGTGTTGTGAAGCGGGTTAGTCCGTGAGATATTGTGTAGCAACAACAGGTGGAAAGCAGGAACAGTTTCTTCGCTATCCCTGAGAACGACTGGACTCCCACACACATAGTGGCCCCAACCCTGGCAGGTGTGTGTGAAGATAACGCGTCCCTGTGCAGGACAAGGTCAACTCCTCATGAGAATGAATAAAGTAACAGGGAAAGGATTAGGCGGGGCTCACAAAACACAGAGGAGAGATGGATATGCCGAGCCCTGACTTTGTGTCTGATGCTAGGGATATTTAATCAATTCTTGTGTTTTGTGAAACCATAAATCTATGCATTATGCTTTGATGCTCGACTTAATAAATTGTTATTACTTATAGATCGTCTACCGTCTTCTGTTCATCGAATGTAATTCCAATCAAATGATCTGCGCGGGGTCCTTCTGAAGGTGTAGTCTTTTGGAGTCAGATGATACGGTGGGCTTTTTGCCCGAGGGTAAATCTAAAAACCTCTGGGAGGTCGTATTATGTTCCGTGTTCCGAATTCCGTGTATTTTTGTAATTCTGTATTCTGTTCCGTGTGCTGTTCCGTATTCAGTTCCGCGTTCCGATCCGTAATCCGTTCCGATTTCCGTTCCGTATTATGTTCCGTGTTCCGAATTCTGTATTCTGTTCCGTGTTCCGATCCTTGTTCCGCTCCGTGCTCTGTTCCGTATTCTGTTCCCTGTTCCGTTTCGCGTTCCGAATTCCGTATTCTGTTCCGCTCCGTGTTCCGATCTGTATTCTGTTGTGTGTTCCGTGTTCTGTTCCGAATTCCGATCTGTATTCTGCTCTATTAAAGATTGAAATGCTCAAATACATTGTTTACGCTAATGTTCTTAAGTCTGTAAAAAGTTGAAGTAACGAGTTTTACCAATAAGTGTTATCCTCGCAGTAATGTGTTTCTTCACGCGATTTGTTTGGATTTAGTATCCTTTCCTTTTAGTTTATTATAAACTTGTAGTCATCACACAGCAGCAGGATCGATGTGTCTCCCCATTGAAAAAGAAGCTGTGCGCATTTTACGCACGTGGCACAGCCTAGTGAACTTCATTAATGAGGCCTATTCAAATCTCCTTAGAGGACAACATGATCAGTGATGTTTTTACGGTCCGGTAGTGACCGGACCGTAAAAACATCTGGAAGACAGCAGCCGTCCTCAGGATGAGTCCTGTCGGGACATTTTGATTATACCTAAAAATACTCTATTTGCTATGGATTAAAACATATATATGTCGACTAATGTTGCTGCTTAAATACAAACGTTCAATATTTGCAACAGAGACAACACTTTTACGTGTGTTGTTTTACCACACGTGCTACAGTATGATGACTCCAGTCGTGTCATTACACAGATGAGACGATCATTACGCACAGACGAGAAACACTGAATTTCATAATTCAATTCACTTAAACTGAAATTCAAAAACACCATTAAGTCAACACACAAGAAACAACAACTGAACATCTGTTACAGATTGAGAAGTACATATAGTAGAGTAACAGTCCAACATTTTGGGAAATGAACCACATGAAGCAGGAACATACACACGGCATGGCTTGATACTTATTATTTTATTCTAGTAATAATTTTGTGTCTGATGAAGACAAATGTTCATGCAAGAGTTTGAATAAAACATCACTTCTCAAAAACACAGCACAGACGTCCCTCTGAATATGATCCTTGATTTAGGATCCTGTTGGCCAGTTGATGTGATAACGTCCAGATTACAGTAACTACAAAACATAGTTTGACACTGAAAATACAGCAGGAATCTCGTCTCTGGTAAAGATGAGGACATCTATAAAATAATGTGAGGAAAAAATGAACTGAGAAAATGAGATGGTTGAAATGTAAGAGGTCTTCTAATGATTGAGGCTAAATATTTCAGGTCCATTGCTTCCTTTTATCAATTTGCAATTTTCCATAATGCACCCTTCCTTTTGATGGAAAGACATTTTCTTTCAAAGTTTAATTCAAACAAATCGTTTGGTTCCGATAATTCCAAAATCAGCAACTGTGACCCATTTGCCAACACAAAATATCACATCAATACAAATTTTCTGCTAATATTGACATTTTTCCATTCATCCTTCAATTATATGAAGTTTGCCAGTGCCGTATGCTGAACACCATGTTCCCACCTCCAAACTTCACTGTTGGTATGGTGTTTTTGGGGTGATGTGCAGTGCCATTTGACCTCCAAACATGCTGTGTATTATGGATGGATCCAAAGAGTTTAACTTTGCTCTCATCTGACCAGACTCTATTCCCCCAGTATTTCACAAGCTTGTCTAAATGTGCAGCAAACTTTAAACAAGCTTCAACATGCTTTTTCTTCAGCAGTGGAGTCTTGCTTGGTGAGCGTGCATACAGGCCACGGCGGTTGAGTGCATTACTTATTGTTTTCTTTGAAACAATTGTACCTGCTAATTCCAGGTCTGTCTGAAGCTCTCCACAAGTGGTCCTTGGCTCTTGGACAACTCTTCTGATAATTCTGTTCACTCTGTCAGAAATCTTGCGAGGAGCACCTGGTCGTGGTCAGTTTATGGCCCCAACAGTGCTCACTGGAACATTCAGAAGTTTTGAAATCCTTCTGTAACCACTGCCATCAGTATGTTTTGCAAAAATAAGGTTGCGAAGGTCTTGAGAGAGCTCTTTGCTTTTACCCGTCATGAGATGTTTCTTGTGTGACACCTTGGTAATGAGACACCTTTTTACAGGCCATCAGTTGGGACTGAACCAGCTGATATTAATTTGCACTGACGAGGGACAGGATCGCTTTCTAATTACCGATAGGTTTCAGCTGGTGTCTTGGCTTTCCATGCCTTTTTGCACATCCCTTTCTTCATGCGTTCGATACTTTTTCCCTGTGTCGTTCCATTTTATTACACATAACTTAATTTATTAGTTTGCTATGTCAATAGCACCTTTAGAAATACATTTACTGAGTTAAATACTTATTTTACCCGCTGTATGTTCTTCAGTTATGGCCATAGATGTGTTTTTAGGTCACAGTGACTTTTGACACTTTTGAAATTCTAATATGTTCACAATTGAGACCAAGTTGACAATTGTGCCAAAATCAAAAGAAATTCAGAATGAAGACAAGCAAATAGCACTGAAGCAAATTTCTTTACTGAAACGAACAAATTCATTTTACAAATAGCTTCAGTTCTTTCTCTTCAGGAGAAGACAACGAGAACAGACAGCTCCTCTCCTGGGTCAACGGGTAACATCTTAAAATAGACTACATGACATTTACACTTCACAGGTTTCTGTGAAAGATACACATAGAACATGTTTTACAAAACAACTCAATAAAATAGAATAGAAAATCCCCCCTCCCCATGTACAACTCTGTTGATACTCTATGAATAAAATAAATGTATTCTCCACTGGACTGATTGAAACAGGCAGCGGATAACTGTTCCTCTGTCCGCAGTCGCAACAAGAACGAGTTCACAGGTAAATGATGACATCCGAAGGCCACCATGTCCCGGTAACTAGTGCAATGTGACCAATGAGGTTGAGGGGCGCGCAATCCGTAAGACATTTTATAAACTTACAATCAACATTCGAAAACGTTTTTTTTTTCTTTTACAAATAAGTAATGGCAGCAAAAAATATATATATTTATACGTCCTCAAAAACTGGACTTAAATAAAAGTGCGATGCACAACTTTCAGTAGGAGAGTGTTCAATTGGGTGGACAAAGCGCATACAAAATCTGAATGGGTTCTTTAAAATTTGTCTATATACTGTAGAAAAAATAGACGTATACATCAACAACCTCAACGTCCACAGTGTTGTGTAATGCAGGGGTGGACTTCTCAAAGCACCTTAATCAATAGGCTGGTAAAAACAAGCTCAACTAAATGAAATGTAAAGGAATGCAGATCATTGTTATAGTTAAAGAGGAGGCATCAGTGGATTAAATGGCATTGCTCCTACTTAAAGAAATATTCCATCCATATATTATTCATATTTTTTGTATCCATTTGTCACAATCATGTCGTCCGGAATGCTGGGGTAAATGTTTCTACTCGCAGGTGTGAGAAGTTGTAGGGGGATTCTTTCAAACAACAAAACTATTCAGTAAAAAACTTTTAAATTGTTAATGTAAAGTCTGCAGCATTCCGCTCTGGAGCTCAGTATGTCTAAAATAGGACTGTTCCTATGTAAAGAAAGGTCTTGCTCTGACTATGTGGATCATCCAAGTCTTTCATTGTGTTTCAAGTAGATAATCAATATCCATTGGGAGCAGACCCTAGAAATAGAATTGGATTAAAATGGACAACGTACTGTTTTCCATGGTTATTCGATTAGTATAAAAGAAAATGGCGATTTTTGTTAGTTATTATGGTGACAACACGCCAGTGAGGCTGTAGAGTGTTGTCGCAGTTTTCCGGGAAGAGAGCGGACGCAGCTCCGGACACAGATGGCTGGCTAGTTAGCTAGTTAGCTTGTCTTTCTCCAGAAAGAGACGGGCAGTGAGGTGGAGGGACCCTGAAGACCCAGAGCTGTCGCTGCCCACCAACCCGCTGTTCTGCTCATTTTCTGTAACCAGTGGTGGAACTACCAAACAAGCTGTCTCGACAGCCGTCCGCTAGTTAGCTGACTAGCTAATTCTATCATACTTTAATGCTACACTTATCTGTTGATAGCATTGTCTTTTCCTATGCTGTGACAGGAGAGTGTGGATGAAGCATTAAGTTGTTAAATATTACTTATTGATTTTTGTAAAGTTACTACTCCACTGCTCGTCTTAGTCGTTACTGCAAAACCTCACCTCAGTGAGTCCACCACTTGCATGCAATAAGTGGGTTTAGTTGATGTGGACGTTGACTGCTGCTCTGACCATCCTGCTACATTGATTTGAATGTGAATGTCTGTTCTACTCCGATTCTATTCTAATGGAGTAGACAGAGCAAAAGACAGTGTGTAGCCAATTTAGCCTAGCGAGCTAATAGTAATCCACCAATATAGTACTACACATTTAGGGTCCTGCATTATTCTGTAATATTGTGGCCTTGTCTTTAATATTTAGCTTTAAGGACTTAATTATTTAAAATGATCACATGGTGCATATGCATAAATAAAGTTGTGTTTCATCAAATTAGCATGGCAGATGGAGCCTCCTCAGAATACAGAGCGTGGCGGGTATCAGGGTAACTTCTTTAGAGCTGAATGGTGAGTCAATTAATCAGCCAAGTCAAATAAAAAGAAAATGAATAAACATGTATTGTTTTAATCTTTTTCTTTTCCAAGCAAAAAAGAGGAATCAAGGAATAATTGCAATTAGAATGTTAATTTATTCAGCCATGTGAAGGCTCAACTTTAGTAATTTTACTTAAATAAATCAGAACCACCATTGATACCCGTCAGGCTCCGTATCATAGCCACTAATGGCAGCAGGAAAGAAATAAGACAAAGAAGATGTTCTCTTTAAACTTAAATAAGTATGTGGTAATTGAAATGTTTACTTAGGAGCAATTCATTTAACATTAAAATCAAAATGCTACTTTGTTGAACAAATGCCATTCTTTGTATTGCTTCCTACTTCTGTGTCCTGCTGGGGTTGGACCTCAGCCTACTGCACTGTGTATGCAATCCTATGGAAAGAAAACTGAAATGACAAATCCTGCTGTTTCTTTGATCGCAGACAAACCACATCAAAACTCTTGTTTGAATTAACAAAGATGGATGAATGAGAAGAAGAAAAAAAAATTTAGAACAGTCCAAGCGGGTCCTGAAGGAAGTCATCTGGAGCTACACTCTCTAGTGGCTAGCTGCTATGTTAAGGTAACAGTGAGCACAGTTCATTCTGTCAGTGCTGGTGGTGTGTGTGTGTGTGTGTGTGTGTGTGTGTGTGTGTGTGTGTGAGCGGACAGGGAGTGATGGCTACTCCATGATGGTTCTGTAAATCACAGGCTCTATGTAGTCCCCCCTGTAGCGCGAGTTGATCACTCTCTGCCTCTTTGACTGCTTGATGATCTCCTTCTCTTCAAAGATTCCGTCAAATCTCATGTCTGACGCTTTAGACTGCAGAGACAAACACAAGACCGCATGGCGTCTTTTCAATGTCTTTCATTGGTTTTACACATTTTATGTTCCAGCTCATTCTTTGTTCATTGAACACAGGATTTGAAAGCTATACTGTATATTAGGTGGATTAAAGAGTCCATGTGTGAGGTTTGGGTGGCACTTACCAGTCTGGATTTGACTCTCTTGGGGAGTTCCTCATCCAGAGAGTAGACGTCGTCTCTCTTGGCCGTTAGCTGCGACCCATCCTCGAATTCCACCTGCACTCATGAAACGCAGCAAACAATAATGTCAGGATTATTTCACACATAGTCCCTTAAATGAAATTGCTGTGAAAATCTTTCTTTTCAGTCATGCGCCTTTCCCCACATGACGTAGCAATGCTGGAATAGATGCGGGCAAGGGACAGTCAAGCAGATGGTGGTAATGCAGCACTCGTGAATGTCGAATGCCATAAAACTCAACAGAAGAAGAAGATGGGGCAAAGCAGTGGTGTCCTGGCCATCTGGCATACTGGGACAAATCCCAGTGCATCCCAGCTGCATCGGTGGGCCGTCAATGAGGTCCTGTCTGTCTGTCTCTACCATAGACTGCATATAAAAAGTAGACGTAGTCATCGTGACCCCACCCATTGGTTCGTGGACTGATGTTATGAAGCCTCAAGTTTGGTGTTTTTACCATCACCATATTGCATTACGGCCGACGCCATGTTGGTTTTTTTTGCAACCAATGAACAGAAGTTACCTTATTTTGAATGTGGAGGAGTGATGTAGAGCGTCTCTGGTAGAGATAGCGACCTGTCAATCAGAGTAAGCCCGCCCTAAAGCATCCCCTGCTTTATGGTCTGTTTGACTCTAAATGGACCATAATGTACTAAATGAACAAAAGTGCACTGCGTGCATGTTCCAGGACTGAGCTCACTGGCCAATCACAAACCTGCACTTATATCCTAGCATCCGCTGTAGCCTGTTGCTGCTGTAATACGGTGGATACATTTTTTTTGAGTATCACAAAGCCCGAAAAAGGACTTGCGTCTTTAACATAATTTATGAGGATTGAAATAAAATTGCATTCCTCCCCCCAAATGTAACTGACTGTTGTATATACTGTGCGTATGTAATCAACCTTCACCGACCCAACATCATCAGCAGATTGGTTCGCTCGCTCCATGTGAAAGCGATAGATGTAACCTCTTTACGTTCTTGTCCCTGCAACATTACTGTTAACAACTCAGCCATACCGCCGTTTCCCCTCAAGTGTTCAGAGGTCTTTAGGTGGGAAACTGTAGGAGCAGATTCCCATGAATACCTCTCCCTGCTCCCTTTCACACATGCAGCCCATTCCCGAAATGTTCAGGAACATTTCGGGAATGGGCTGCATGTGTGAAAGGGACTTAAGATAATTTTTTACCCTATTCATCTGTAGTTTCTCCCCATAGCAATTAAAGCACAAAGATCTGCCTGTGTTCCTTGACCTCCTGTTTTTAATGCATATTTTATTTCACGTTCACGAACAGAGACCCCTCACCTATCGACCAATCGCTGTAGAAATAGCCAAAATATCAAACGGATGATGAAACCTCCAGTTAATTACTGTTCAAATATGTAAATGAGGCATCATTAAATACGAGCTCATTTTTGAACATTTCCAGAACAGAAATATGAACATCAGATGAAGCCAGGTTCAAAGTTCTTCTTTCATTTTGTTGACATATTACAGTCAAAGGTTTTTTACAGAGGGGATTTTGGATCTTTTTGTATCACTCCATAAATCAGAAAACACTGTTCTATAAGCCATGCTGTGAATGCTGTGTGAACAAACCCCTCTGTGAAACCTGCAGAGCATAGAGAGGATAGAAGTGTAGAGGCTGGTGTGTATAAGTTAGTACACACACACACACACACACACACACACACACACACACACACACACA